ACAGCTTCTCCTGGTTTTAATCTGCCAAAAAATGTTTTATAGCATTTGCAAAAAAGGTGCTGCAGGTAACTGAGGAAAGGGGAACATTTTCTGCAGCTGCTAAGTAATTAAAGTTCCTCCTATCCATTTTAGTAGCTTAGAGGCTTTTAAAGACCACTGCAAAATCCATTTACAATTCAGTAACTTTTCTTCTTTGGAGATACGAATCACTCTCCTCGTTTTCTTTTGACAGGGATACAAAATGAACAAATAGTCCCTAGAATATCCAGGTATATTTAGATAGCCTACATTCACTCCAGCAGCATGATTTGTGATGGATGTGGTGTTGTGGAGCATGACACAGATCTGTGTGAAGGATGCCATTTAGCAGCAGACAGGCAGTCCAAGTTATTTATGAAGGAACTAGTATTGTTCATTGTTTTGCCTGTAAAAATTATACATATAACTCAGAGTTGGGGTGTGAATAATGAATAAATCAAGATTTTATAGTTTACTCAGTGTGGCTGAGAAAAATAGGAAGACTTGTTTAGGCAGAGCAAAGAAACATTTGTGTTCTCCCCATAAATCTCCGGCGGGTGTGCATGCCATGGACATCCTTGTGTGGATGTCCTGCTTACAAGACTGTAACATGACATCTTGAACCAGGGGGTGGATGAAAATGAAACATGCTCCTTTCATGGCCATGTCTGACCAAATTCAGCTGCTCAGTACAGGAATGGCATGAATGCAAAGACTACAGGTGAACCAAGGCCCTCGCTAGAGATCAGCTCTGCACCACACCTGCACTTTGGCCACAGGGGCTGATGCAGCCCCTGGATTTTACTCAGGTAAAATACCCTGACATTGTTAGGGTATGGAGATCCAACTGGCCAGGGCATACCCCAGCCTTTCTCTTGGATTGCCGTGTCCAGAGGAAACCTGAGTATCCAGACAGCCTTGTTCCAAAGCAGTGCTTGTCCTTAGCCTAGAAAACAAGGTATGGGTCAACAGATTTTCTATTACAAGAATATTAAATACTCAGCTTTCAAGTAATTTATCTCCAAAACACATGGGACTATTGCTCTGTTCCCACTTACATTTTCCATCAACTCTCTACTCTTTGCCTGGAGAGATTTCTACAATCAGTGTGTGTACGATGGTCTCAAATCAAGTAGCTCAACCTGGTGAGAGCCCAAAAATTGTCTCTTCATTCCTACAGCTCTACCTATGAGCACTGTGCTCTCACCATCTCCTCCCACACTTTCTAGGACTTTGTCTCAAAATGTTGTACTTACTTGGCTTTTTTTTTTTTAACAATCTATCAATAAGATAAATCAAGAGAACTACATAGCAAGAATCACAACAATAGATGTTAACTTGAGGAATGAATAAAATATCTGAGAAAACAATTTCGCGACTGCTAACTAAGATCACACTGTCCAAAGTTATTGCAGTGAATGCTGAAATACAAATTAAATGACAGAAAAAATCCTTTCTTATACTGTGACTTTAAGATGATTGTATAGGGCCTTGAAACAGAGATGTTCAAATCCTGTAAGGGTCCTTGGTACAAAATTAATGTCTGAAAACAAAAAAGGCAATGCAGCACTACTTTACAGCATATTTTTTTTGATAATATACACTCCAGTCAGTCTCATGGACAGAAATTCATGGACACAAATTAATACAGTTCAGCACTTGAGGAAATTCAAACAGCAGAATTTCTTTGAGATCCCACACAGACAAAGATGGAGGACCATCATGCCAAGAGGCAAAATATTAATTTTCTACTCAGTGAGAACTGACAAGGAGAAAGAGTTGACATGTTTAGGAACAAAAGAAAGCATGGAAAGAGTGTTGAGGAAGGAAATAAAAAGTTCTGTTCAAAAGAGAGGAAAAAGTGCAAAGCACATTTTATAATAAAATTATGAAGAGCGAGTTGACTTTACTGCTCAGACTCAAGGATCTGTTTTAAAAAGTGCTGAGTCTTGACTTAAATGGAAGTTTAAGAGGAGTTCCTTTCAAAGACTATCAAAGGTGAAGCTTACAAGGTTAAAGTCAAGACATACACAGTGCTTTCTCTCTTTTCATCAGCCACACTCCTGAAGATGTGTACAGAATAAAGCAGCAGTATTGGGGTATATTTAACTAAGTAGAAGGAAAATGCTGAATTGTTTAACCTTGGTACATTCAAATAATGTCAAGATAAGAACTCAATGACGGTTGCCATCATTTATTGTTTTCCAAGTAATGGAAGTTAACAACTGGAAAGCCACTGAGTCAAAAAGAACACTTTAAAGAAGGACTTGAACACTTTAAAGAAGGACTTGAAGACACTGCTGCATTATCTCAGCTCATACAGAATCTTGTTTTGAATCACCTTACTGTTTCTCTGATTGCATTCATAAACAGATGGACTTCTTCACACTTTTTTCTTTTTTTTTTTTTTTTTTTTTCTCTAATGAAAACATCTTCCTATACAGGCATATTGATCCCTTGGGGAGAAATCTGTGATGCAAATAGGTTTTTGCATTGCTTGGTGAACAGGCCACACAAGTAGCACTGACTGGGACACAGGGTTCTGGGACAAAGCAAACAGGAAGTTTTGTGTGGAGGACCCACCTAGCAAATATAGTGCACTTCAGTTTTGGGAGACAATTTGAAGCACATGCTACAGAGATTTGATTTTCAGAGACCAGGCAAGCACCAAAGCTTGCCTGGTGGAATATGTCTTTTTGCCCCCTGAAGTTGGCATCAGTGCTGAAGGCCAAACAACATGACAAAACCCAGCAGAAAAGCCTTTTCTTCACAGCCCTAAGCAGCACCTTGACTGCCAGGTGCTTGAGAGAAACCCTGCTGCTGTTTGGCTTTTGCACTCAGAGTTCCTTTAGCCAGGATGCATCCACTGCTGTGACTGCACCACACATCACAAATGGAGTGCACAGCAATGGAGTTCAGTGATTGTACAGGTGCCTGGTGGGCAGTTAGCAAACAGGAATTTTTTTGTGGTGGAACCTTTGAATGCTTGGGCCCCAATGCCTCCTAGACCGATGTGGGAGCTGGTCAGGCAGGGACTGACAGTGAGTTGGCCGTGGCTGACCATGCAGAAGGCATCAACTTCAGGTCTTGAGAAGTGGGGTGCTCTGAAGGAGAACATCTAGATATGTTATGGTGAGAAGCACGGGATTATGGGTTTAGTTATGGTAATATGGGTTACATCATTGCATCTAGATAAGGTTATGTGTTAATGATTAGTTAGTTGCTTTTCTGTACATGGCTACATTGTTGCTCATAGGTTCTTTGTTCTGTTCCCTTTAACATTGGTCTTCTGTTGGTCACCCAGCACAGAGTTTTACCCCCTGGGGCTACTGTGTATGGCTTCTGTTTTTGCTGGCTCCTCTACTGAATTGCTTTTTGGGCAACCAGAGTTGTACCCGCTCCTTTTACTTCACTGGTAGCTGCGGTGGACCCTTGGTGATGGTGGTTTTGGTCAAGCTGGTGACCTAGCTTTATTGCCAGACTGCGATAAAGCTGCCAGCCCTGAGTCAGGGTGAGCACCAGCAGGTGTAAATCATCAGCCCAGAGTGCCTGAGCTGTATGAGCGGCTGGGAGCAGTTGGCTCTTAAAGGAAAGTCCCAGATGCAGCCTGAGTGTCTGTCAGGAACTGGGCCTGGTGCAAGAGCTTCTTGGGAGAACTGAGGCTGTTGTGGCTGTGAGGCTGCAGAAGCCAGACCAGTCACGTTCATTTGAGGATTGCTCACAGGCACACAGTGACCTGATTTCTCTGATAACGTGTTCAGAGCCTGACCAGATGGCATTGTGAGTGTAAGGTGCTTATCCTATAGGAAATCTGTCCTTAGCTCCCTTGTGGAGCATCAGCCTGAAGATGTGGAATTAAATCCCTCACACTTAAGATATTCACAGTCAGTATATCTGAAACACACAAACAGATGTTGGCACAAAGGTTGAATGACAACGTGAACAAATCCACATCCAGACACTGAACTTTTCTAGCAGAGATCCCACCACTGAGACACTAAAACCAGAAGTAATTCCTTCACAGAATTCATTCCACAGAAGGGAATTCCTTCTGTGCTGATAGCCTTGCTCTAAGATCAGAAGATAAATCATGATGGAACAGTTATGTGTTCAAAAGCAAGCTAGATTATCCAATGACTGCTGTCAGTCTTGCAACACGGAAGGCTACTGGAACAACAGGCATATGTGGATTGGAACCAACACCCTTGCTCCTGCCATTAGGGAGCTCTTTTTCTCCCCAACAGCAATTAAAAAAATGAGTCCTGAAGTGCAATTAGCTATGATGAAGATAACCATTTACATCTAGTGGCTGATCTGAGGTAAAAAAAGACTGTGTAACTGGGTTTTCCTCTCAATCTACAAGAGGGACAAAAGAGACAATCTTTGGATAAATTCTTCTCAGAAAAAAAGCTTCAGTAAAAAGTGCACATGCACATTGTGGACCTGCCTCCACAATATGACAATATTTTCCTAAAACAAGTTAGCAATAACTTTGGACAAAACAGTCAGGCAAGAGGTCCTCAGATTTGATCCAATGAATACTGAACCCACCCTGAGACTTCTACTCAGTTTTGGCAATAGTTAGCTGTGTATCTACACAGGAAATATTTAGCCTTCTGATTTTATATTTCAGCTGAGTTTATTGTTTGAGATGACATTGTTCACAGAGAAATGTAGTTTTCCTTGGCAAATGGGATCACAAGAAGTTGCCCCTGTAGTCCACACTTTGGATAAAAAGAACTTCTCCAGAACCAAAATCCTGAAGTCCTTGAGGATACCTGGTCCTTTGCATCAGTTGTGAGCCAGTCTAGAGAGCTGAAAAGCCAACATCAAGAGCCCCCATTACATCTTTTGGGGTATTTTGTATAAATAATAGATATTTTTATTTATCCTACTAGCCACTTAGGGGAAAAGAGATCCCCAAACTTGCCTCTACACCAACACTCCCTTGTCAGTAGAGGTCATTTCTCCTGTGGCATAGGGACATTTCAGAAACATCTTTATTGCAACTTAAGGGCTGTGCAATTTTCTTGCTTGACAGCCGAATGCACACAAACCTCAAGATACAAAAAAATGCATTTGTCAGCTTGGACAAGATAAATTTACTACTTTATATAAGCATACAGCTTGTGTATTTTGAAAAGCCACTGAGCAAATATGTTTCTCTTCCAGTAATGCCAGACAAATACATGTAGAAGTGAAAGGAAAACAAAAGGAAGAACAGATGCCTGTAAGGAAAACCATGATCAGATGGTAGCTCTGTTCTTCCACATGGGGAAGTGGCCTGGTATATAAGCCAAACTCTGCTGAGGAATTACTTTCAAGTGGACACACAATATTCTGATTCTTCTATATGAAGCAACAAAGCATTTGGGCAGCAGTCACAATCCATGTTGAAATTTGGAGGTTCTTGCTGTAGTCTGCTCAGCCAAGGCTAGGACTTTAGACAAGTAGCATCTTTAACTGCCCAGGCAGGGATTGAGGCCAGTCTGGGAAACTTAGTGAGTAAAAATACTTGAGTGCATTAAATTATGTACTGGGATCTCTCCAGAGATCCAGAGTATTTCTGTAATAATTGTGTTAATGGTCTCTGGGGCTTACGCTTTTGTTATCAGAGAGAGCATTTTGCCTGAAGGAGGGTTGGGGAGTTTGGAGCATGCGGTTTGGAGGGTGTAAGGCAAAGAGGAAAATCACAGAGCTTTTTTCAGATATAAAAATAGGGCTTAAACTCACATTAGAGAACAGAATTTTCAAACCTGTTAGTGATGCTTTATACAGAGCTGTAAACACATAGCCATATTTTACAGAGAAAAACACTGCTGCAAAAAATACCAAAAATGCTTTTTCCATTTACTTGTCATTTATATGTTAGAGATTGTTTCTGTGAGCTCCACAAAACAATAGAAATAAAATATGTTGGCCCCCTGACCAGCAAGCAAACAATGAAATGCAGTTCCTTCACCAACCTCCTGATTCAGAGGTCTTGCAAGGAGGACTGGCAGTTCCTTTATCTTTGATATAAAAAATGCTATGCATGGTCAGGCCTTCAAAAATAGGAAGCTGAGTGTCAGATCTATCTAATCTCAAAACCAATATGAAAATAAGGTAATATCAAGCACATAGAAGACCCAGAAATAGGTTCAATTGCTCAGTATGATAGAAACACTCTCAGTAAGAGCAGGACCCTGAGTAAGTGCCCATAAACTTGACCTTTTGGAATTGCATTTGCCTGTGTGTGTGTTACAGCAGACCTCTGACTGTTCCCATTCAACTCCCCCAAATTGTAAAGGGCACTGAAACCATTTCTATCACACTGACAATTATGTTAAGAGAAAGAGTAGTACTACTAGTACTGACAAAAAAATTACTATTTGCAGTCTGCAATTTGCCCAGCAGCAGAAAAGGTTTCTATTCCTCCTCCTCATATTCACTAGAAGGAAAACTGAATTTATGAACAACCAAGTAAGTCAGTTTTAAGGACTCTCCCCCAGGCAGAGAAATAGCAGCAATGCAGAGGACAGTGAAGAAAGGACAGAAGATACATGACTAAAGTATCAGCAGGTGCTTCAGTTTCTCTGTTATTCAGCCCTTTGGTATTATTCTTAGCATTTATTTCATGCTCCAGTAAGCTTTGTTTATTGAGGTGATCACACAACTCCGTTGTCTTGAAAGAACAGCTGCCTTCTGGCTTCAGAGGAACAGATGAAATCTGATTAGGTTTAATATTTTTTCAGTATGCTCTTTAATAACCACCTGATGGCACTCTTAAGGAAGTTAAAAAACCAGGTCACTGTGATTTTAAAGTCAGATTTAGCCCCCTTAGAAGGCATATTGAAAAGTTTACTTGAATCTGGCCCATCACCACTATTTTTACAACCTGCTTATCTAGTTTCTCAGCCCTTTCTAAAAGATGAGATTTTTATCATTTGTAGAAATCTGCTTCCAAGTGGATTGCAAGCACTGAACACAAGGGCTGCAGGAAAAATCATCAGTGATTGATGATCATACAAACAAACCCCTTTGTTAATATAAAATAAATGATTCAAAGAAAATGTTAAATATGTATGTACACTGAGACTAGAAACAAAAGCTTCAGCCCTTCACCACCTTTTAGGCAATTTAGAAATGCAAACCAGTGCAATTCAGCTACCTCTTCAACCAGCTCCCCTCATTCTCTTACTTGAGAAGTCAAATCCCTGCTTGGTTCAGAGGAATATTCATCTGACACAAAGTCTGGTGGCAGCCAGACAACTTTGCCTGACTCTTTCTGCCAGGTTAATACTAACAAAGTTGCCTGACTGAAGGAATGAATAAACAGTACTGACAAAAAAAGCAATGCACACTCATGGCCTATCTGTGAAAGGAGGGTCCTCAAGATAGTGAAGCACTGTCAGTTGTACGTGCACAGGCAGATGTTTTTCACCTTCCTCTCAGTCTGCTCATTTTAGCTGTGGAAGTGGACCAGGAATCACTGAAGAGATTTGCTGAGGACAAGGCCTGCAGTGTTTCTTTTTTTCCATTTGAGTCATTTGAAAACTTATACCTGTAAAACAAACATGAAAAAGAGAGACAATGGATTAATTTGTTTAATTGGAAGTGTGGAGAACGGCACAAAACTTTAATATCTGAAGTTCAACCATGTTTGTATGGGCAGGCTTAGATTAGCAGTGATCTGAAAATAAACAGGGATGTGATGGCAATTTTTTTCTTCTCATTAGGTTGCTGGAGGTCACTGACTCCCAGCAACCTATTTCCCCTTTAGTGAGGGTACCTAATCACTGAACGTTTGATGCTGCTGGAAGATTCCATAGTCAGGTGGAGGTCCTCATAGACACAGGACGGTGCTACTGTGTCTCCAACTTGAATTCTGCGACTGATACATTTAACAGTATCTTCCCCTTACTATCATCACATTCTCCCTATTTCCTGGTCAAAATCCATAGACTAAGATTTGCCTGAAGCATTTTCTTTCTGGGACAGCAATTTTTTTTTCTAATGGAATAACAATATTCTAGGAAATCAGAGGTTTTGCTTCAGAAGAAGTAGCCAGTGTGGTTATATATGCTTATAACCCTCTCCTCAAGCCACACAGAGTAGATCTCCAAGTGGCTTTGCAGCTTGCCCATGGCATGTGCCCAGCACAAAGAGCAGTGCAGAACAATGCTGAGAAACAGTCCCTGTGCTTTGCCTGAAGACTATAAAACAAGTAATATCCCCCCTAAAAAAAGGCAGCAAAAGTCACCCAGAAATCTCATAGCAACAACACAAAACAAAGCAAACATTGCACAATTCCAGACAGGAACCTCACATTAAACAGAAGAATTCAGCTTTGGGCAGTTGCTGCATTAGGCCCAAGCTTTTACAATTGCCTCTCAGTGAGAGTAGAAACCAATTCAGATCCAGCATTTTGATACAAACAGAACTGAGGAAGTCATTTGCAGCAGAAAGATGCATCCTATACGGAGGCAAATAAACAACAATCCCTGACCTAATAAAGGTTTGGCTGTGAGTAAGGACAGAAGATGATTACAGTAAGCATACTGGAATGCTCAGAGAACCAGAGCAGAGTGTAATGGGACAAGCAAAGATTATAAAGTATTACTGTGTTTGCAGCAGAGGAAAGCATTTCAGACTCCCTCTGTAGATCTTTGTGGTGAATTCACAGATTCTAATGGAGTGTTTCCTTTGCACTCCACTCTCCCCCTGAGCGCAGTACCTTCCATTGCTCTGTGAGACCAGCATCACTGGACTTCATCCCCAGGAAGTGGCAGTCTGCTTTCAAAGGAACATTCTCTTTGCAAGCATTTTAATCAGAGAGTTTTCATGCCTGTTGCATGCAAAAAAGCCTGAAACACACCCTACTTTGTCAGACAGCAGAAAGTGCTCAGATTGAATAGTGACAGCTGTGCTGATCACATGAAGTCTCAGTAAGGTGGAAAGGCTACAGGATCAGGCAGGCAGCAGCACGTGTGATCCAGCTCGGGCCAGGAGTGACAGAAGCCACCTCTGTGCCTCTGGCATTGCATTCCCCAGGCCTTGTGGGCCAGCTGGGAACCTGCTGTTGCTCAAGTCCTCAGCTGCTACTACACCTGTTGATTAAATGAGGAGCCCCAGACAGCTATAAACCCCTGAGCCATAATAATTCTGCAATTTGTTCACTGCTTCTGGTACCAAGGGGACTCTGCCTATAAAGAAGAGCCCATGATTCAGCACTGGGAGACTGGACAGGAAGGAAAGGCTCCAGTTAAAGAAAAACTGTAGAGTAACACAAAGATTTCCACCTAAGTTATCTAAATATAAAAAGTAATAAAGCATTTAAGATATTTTATCAGCAAGAATGAAATTTCTTGGAACTTCAAATTAGTCATTTTATGATTAAAAGATTAGAAATAGGAAATAAACTATTTTAGATCAAATTCTTTATCTTTAGAGTTTAACAAAACTTATCAGCTAGACATTTTATTGTATTTAGAAACATAAAGATTTAAGATGCTAAGATTATAAAGAGCATACTAATCCTTTTATCCTAGACTTTTTCATGGTTTAGCTTTTTTCCTCTGGGGTCTCACTGAAAGCAGGGATATTATGTACTTCTACTTGCAGTTTTTAGATGCACATACTTAGGAAAAATTCAATCTCAGTCAGTTCTTGTTCCTGGTAGAGCTGTGGGTTCAAAAATTGGATATTTGGGAATTTACAGAATCAAGATTTGGTTGATCTTTCAAAGTATGAAGATGAATGCAGCCGCAGATGAATGGTGATGGAATACAGCAGGGCAAAGCCAGGATAATATTTCACTTTTGTAACTGTTCTTATCAATGAGGAGCACTGATACTCCTTCAATCAGTCTTGATTGTTTATAATACAGGCATTAATTGGAATCTAATCTCTTCTAATCTTTCTTCCCAATCCAAATACTCACTAAGTTTCCTAAGAAAAAGAGAACACATTCCCAGTGATACAATGAAGCTACTATATACCTGCATATAAAATTCTGTGAAGTTTGCAGACAGAAAATACCCAGAGTGCTGTGATTTGTCTCTAATAATTACCTTATACATCTAATGAAATGAAACTTTTTTACCTCTATGTGTTTTTTTCTTGAGTTTGTGTACTTTTGAGCAGCAGAGTCTTCTAACCTTCTGACCTAAGGGTGAAAAATAATACATTATCAGTGGAGACAGGTAATGCAAATAATTGTACATATACAGTAAATGTGTCAGTGTCCACAGACATTTTGCTTACTGTATTTATCACTGACATCCTTGCATGGAGAGATCTGTAAAACAAAGGATTATCCTGACTGATTTTTAGATCACTGCACAGCTTTGTCCCTAGTGTGAAACAGGAATTTATTTGCTCTTTTCCATTATTACTCATAGATACATCAGATACACATTGTGAAGATTTCTTTATCCTTCGAAATGTCACACTGGCAGGCAATACAATTATAGTTACACTTCTTTAAGAAAATATAAAAAATTAACAACAGGAAAAAAGAGCATCTCTGTGTCCAGATGCACAGGAGTGTATGATAAATTGCTTTGGATGGGCAAAGCCACTGAAATATTCCCTCCCCACCACACCTAAGTAAGTGAGCTGTTGACTGCAGTTGACATAGTATATGCTGGCCACAATAAAGGGGGAAAAAACAGTTTACTCTGGAGCTGAGGTGGAGCAGAGAAAGGACAGAAACAGATGATTTCTCAGTGGTCAATGTTTCTGGAAATAACTGAGGCCCAGTTTACAGCCAAGACTGAGGTATAGGCTGAGCTATCTTATCACCATAATTTAGTTCTGATGTAACAGGTTTAACATGCAAAGTACATTTATCTTGCACACCCAGACACTTTTACTTTCACATCAGTGCTTACAGATAAAGAACAGTGTCCTTTGCACGTTTTCTCCCCACCTTCTGACTCACTGAAGTACCACACACATCAACAAAGAGGGAACACTGTTACGGGAACTTGCAGGTGTTGATCTGGGTTTTATTGATATGGCTGTCTCCTGTCCCTCCTGGACAGGCTTTCTTTATGCTCCTGAAGACACATCTAAAAATCCTCCAACTCCCTTTGCACTGTTCTTCAAGCTTTCCTTAAGGATCATAGAAAAAACAGAATAAAAAGAAGTAGAACAGGCAAAGGGAGCAAATCTACCATTCAGCACAGACTCCAGTAAATGAGAAAATTGGGAAGCTGACTTAACCTAATAGAAAAACAGCTTCCACATGTTTCTCCATGATCATATTTACACAGAAAGCAATTCTTAGAAGGTTTCTGGAAAATATCAAGCATGGTAAGTCTGCTGTTCCTGACCTTTGGGCACTTAGCTTATTTGTTTTTCCTTATCTCACATTTATTGTCTACATCTTGTATAAAGTACACATTGTGAAAAATCATGGTGAGTCTCAGAGATTCACAATATCAAACCTCAGGTCTGCTCAGGTAACTCTAGACTGCACCTCTCACTTAAAAAACTCTACTGAACTGCCCTTTTGCAAATGCAATGACATCTGAAGAGATGAGGCTATAGACAGATGGAAAATCCTCTGTTTTCAAGATTTTAACTGCTCTGTGAATTTGGAATGCTGCATAATGGTAACTAAGTGCCTCAAGGTACTATAATTGAAGTGTGAATTATTAGTGGTAAAAAACCCCAACCAACCAACAAAAAAACAAAGGAAAAAAACATTTAGACTGATGGATGGTCAGAAGAGTTACTCTCACTTGTTTCACTGTTCTATAAAGAACTTCTCAAATACTCTGTTAACCTGATTGATTCATGTTCCCATATTTCATAAGGGTAGAAACTTTTCCCATTACTGAGAAAATGATACTATTTTTACATGGGTGGATGGTTGGTTATCTACTGGGAAAATAAAACAGGAAATATTTTCAGAAGAGCAGATTTCAGAAAACAGATTAAGGTAAAAGTTAATCAATCATGCTGTGCAAAAAGCAATAACAGAGGAAACGCTACTGTACGAACCAAAGCACTGATATGCTACCACATTCTGCAGTCTAAGTCCTTTCTAAGTCCTCCTTCTCATTATCAAGCTCTGTATGTTTCCTTTAACATAGTAAATACATATTTTATATCAAAAAGGGAAAGAACAGAAGAGAAAGCTGTTTCAAAGACCATATGTACAGTACCTTCTGCAGCAAAGGCACTGAGGCACAGAAGACAGACAAACAAAAAGCCACAAAGTGCCAGGAGCTTCATCCTTCCGACTAGATGTTTCTGAGGAGGCTGAAGGAGTGCCTTGGTCTCTTCCAGCACAACCTCAGCTTTTATAAGATACAGCCAAAGGAATGTTACGTTCAGAATGGGTGGAGATTTGGCCTTTGGATTGCACCTCAACAGATGAAAGGAAACAGCACTTCCTATTTCAAGAAGCAATTTACTCATATTCATACAGCCAGTTACACAGGAGCTTGGAACATTTAAGTACACAGGGATGCTCTGAGGCAGAGTCCTTGTCCTGTGCTTCACAGCAGCCTTTCCAGGGGACCTGGTGTACTTCTCTGCATCCTTAGAAAGGCAGAGAGCACAGCAGAACTGAATTTGCCTGGACAGCAACCAGGACTTGAAAAGGCAAACCAAACCCAGGGTGTTTTAATCAAAGCAATTGCCAGTGTGTTGTTATCATAATTAAAAAGACAGCTGGTTAAGCAGCAGATTTCTGAGTTTATTATTAACTTCTCAGTTTCTATTATATCTGAATAATTAAGTTATGGAGGTTCTAGCCAACAGTTCAGATTAAGTCATAAAATTCAACATAGTATCAATGTTCACAGAGTGTACCTAAAAAAAAATAAAAAAAGTCCTTCAAGTAGGGATCAACAATAAAGCTGTGTCTCATAAAAAAGGCAAAAAGTTTGGCAGCATCCAGTTCTCCCAGCTTAATCTGGTAAAATTTGGGTCTCTAGCAACAGAATATGTTATGAGCTATGTAGCCTTAAAAGGTGGCAGCAGTATCTGCAAGCCACGCAGACTTGGAATTACAGCAGGTTAAAAGGCTTCACTCTGGTGTACATATATTGCCCCCAGCCCCAATTTCAAAGGTTTCCTATTTCAGATTTGGGATTTGGCTTGTTTCTTGCATTTCATCAGCAGCCTTCCAAATTGGGTTACCCCTTTATCTACCAAATTTAGCCCCAAAAGCTTATTTCTGCAGTCCTACCTAGCAATAGCCATATATGGAGAATATTGATAATGCCTGACAGCCTTTTTTTGTTTGCCAAGACCAGCATTACCAACGTTCAAGAATCAAATTACTATCAAAATTTGCTACAAGATAGTATTACCTGCAGAGTGCTCTATGAAAGCTCTGCCTCACACTTGTAAAAGTGGCCAGTTCTTTTCCCCTGGATCGGGATTAATGAGCAGAGAGACGGCTTTTGTGTTTGGACTTAGGATGTTTATTTTTCTTATCTATATTACATTTTTACACACAGTAAGCACTTCTACACACTAACCTAACAAGCTACAAATGGCAGCCCAGGGCTCTGTCTACGAGGCCTTTTAAGCATAAATTATCCAACTGTCAAATGCCAACTCATTTATTTTTGCTTTTAACCCAATAACCAAACACCCATGTTCCACACTGCGTGCTTCTCTATCCAATCACCCAATAGCACCCAAAACCATGAAGAAGAAGAAGGAAGAAAGGCAAAGACAAGAATCTCCATCTTGTCCCTCATTCACTACTATATCTCAAACTCTAAATTTTTCACCTGGTGACTTAACATAATTCTATCTAACTCACACATTCACATTCCCAGTTTCTCTACCTAGTTTTAGAAGCCTACTCCATGGTTTAAAATTAAACCCAGTGTTCTCTTGAGTGTCTGAGAAAGATGAATGACAGCAGAGCAGCAATGTTTTGTTATGATCTCTGGCTTCTTTTGAATATTGAAACATATGGGTGTGAGTCCTCACTTTGTACTTTTAAATTCAACATTTTTGCTGGTTAAGATCGAATCAACATAAATCCCAGCTAAGCATGTAAAATGGAGCTGGTCAGCCTACTCACAAAGGTTTGCAGAAGATCTGAAATGTCAATAAGGCACATGGAAGGGGTGGTAGGAGAATAATTTTTCTGCAACATTCAATCAGGCTGAGTAGTGGTAGCACTGAAGCAAGGATTTCACTTGGTGACTCAGTATTTTATCTCCATTACACTTTCTGAGAAAGTTCCAGGCAAGCTCATGTACTGGCGGACATGAGTGAACGGCTGTGTGGGGCTTAGTTGCCAGTTGGGGGTTAAACCACAACAATACCCAAATAATTTTTCATGTCTTTTGAGCCTTAACTAAAGGCATCTTTCTGTGTGCATGATAAGAAATAAAAAATGAATACAGAAAAGCAATCAGGTAAGATGGGAGATGACTTGCAAAACACAACCTCATCACATGATGGCTATTGACATTTCCAACTATGCTCATTTAAACAAAAAGTGCTGCCAACACCTACCTCAAAAGCCCCCATCTTTCTTCTGAAGTATTTACAACATAAGATTGGCAACAGAAGTATTTACAAAGACTTGTTTTTATAAATATACATCACTGTAACTTTACCAATCACCCCAAGCAAGAAAACAGCATGTGCTACCTGAATGCCCCATTTGTTTTCTGCATGGAAGAGGCAGGCTGCTACTTGGTCTCCTCTGTTACAACAATCCAAGCCTTCCAGCTACTATGATGGGAAATGAGGCAAACCTGTACAGTCATCATTGCACACCCAAAAACCCCACAGAAGGGTTTGATAGGAACAAGAACAGGCACCCATTTTTCAAGGACAGCATCTGTCTGAGGAGTTTGCACTGCCTTACTGTCAGGCTGCTCCTGGAATGCAACCAGAAAACCCAAAAACTTTCTAAAACTAAATACTATATAAATAAATATATATAAATATATATACTAAATATATCTATCTATATATCTAAAACTAAATACTATATATATAAATATATATAAATAAAAACCTAAAATACTGCATGAATTTATCAATATAACTTATTAGCGTGTGGATATTGTAAGTAATTTATTTGTTTATTTCCACCAATTGAGAGGTCTAGTTGCAGACCTTTGGAGATTCTTTTGAGTAAGTATTGGGGTCCATGCACTGTATCCTGCTCAGCAGTTTTGAGAACAAACATAGCTGAGGAAGGTTTTTTTTCCTCCTAAACTGAATACTTTCAGAAGAAATTTCGGTGCTTTATATTTTAAATTTCAGGCTGTAAAAGCTGATCATTGCTGTGGTTAAACCCTGTAATTCTTAATGCCCTGTTTCATTTGCTTCTATAAATGCTAACGTTATAGAAATGTTAAGCAAACTGAAAATGGGAGACTAGAAGCAATGACCTAGCATAATCTTTTGACTTGTTCTGAGATAAAAGTCTTTACCAAATAAGGTTGCAGAATATACAAAACAATAAGACAGAACTGTGTCAAGGGAGTGGCTGGAGATAGGAGATGGAATAAAACTACAGATTACTAAATAGCCTGCTAACCTGTGTACTTAGAGGCTGTCAGCTGGAAGTTTGAGGCATCTGTATGATAGTCTTCTGTAAAAAATAATTTTATGAAATGAGCAGCAGCTGCTATACATCTGTCCAGTTGAAAAAAAAAAAGGCTGTGAAGGAAATTGAGTGCAGAGGTATTTCTGAATCATCCAGGGAAATAAGGGATGCACCATGAGATTTGCATTACGTTTGCATTAATACAACATAATGGTGTTCAAAAGCCACATAGGATGTCTCTCCAAATCTTTAAGAAAGTAGTTTGATTTCTTAACGTTAAATTAAGGCATGATCCAGAATCTCTTTTAGTGCTTGCCAAAACTCTTAAATTTGCAATCTTCAGAGTCACTACTTCTGGAGTTGCTATGCTAATATAAGATTCATTAGTATTTCTAAAGGTCATGCCATTCTAAGAAGAATCTGCATTTTTTATATGAAAACTTCTAACCAGGTTGAAGCAGCTGTTTGTGACATAAGGAGAATAACACAGTTGGAGTAAACGGTCCTGTTAACTTTAGGGCTAAATGAAACTAACTTTTGAGCTGTGAGAAGGCAGGAAACATTAAAAACTTTCAGGATATAAAGTTAATTTAACTCAAGGTAGACAAGTTATGGTGAACCAATGTAGTTGTCCAGGAGCATGCGCTGGCCTGTTTTTAAAGGAGGAAACATAGTGTAGAAACTGAAGGCTGTAGTAGCAGCCACTGTATGAGAGGCAGAATGACAGCATCTGGGATAGAGTAACAAAGATCAGAATGAAGAATGACTGAGGTTATAACTTCTCCTAGCAGTTTATGGTGAGCTGATAAACACTTTGAAAACTGTCCTCAAACAGGGTTTAAAGCATCTTTGACACAGCTTTTTTAATGTGTGCCCTGCTACTCCTCAGGCTGTGTCTGCAAGTAAAGCCTCTGCAGAGCTGCCAGCTGGTGTGTCTGTCTCGTGTGCTGCTCAGGGAGTCTAAGCTCCATTCACAGGTCCCTGTCCTGGACAGCTCTATTAAAGTGGAACTTGCAGTTCTTATTTTGCTTGGTTTTAACTTTCCTCCTGCAGGCAATGTGGTAAAGATGGAACAAAGCACGCTTCCCCTTTCCCCCTGTTTACTTAACGTGCTCTCTCTCTGGTTTTTTGAAGTCTAGATGTGATGAGGTTTATCTGGTTGCTGTAGGCTCCTAAATGGAATAATGAAATCAGGCAAGGGTTCAGGCCAGAGACATTGACATTGGGTGCCATGTTCAGTGTGTGTGTGTGTGATGGAAACACTTCTTTCTTGTGGTAGCCCAGTCTTCTAGTTCAGGCAAGGTGTAATTTAAGAGACTGTTTTTGACAGTTAATCTGCCAGAGCTCACACTTCCATGATGGGGTGATGAGAGGAGCTGTGTAACCTTCTCATTATGGAGTGTAACCTTCTCATTATAGAGGCAGATCTGCTCCCACTGCATGTTACCACAGAGTAGGGAAAAACCAGGCACCCAAGAAGGGAAAGTTATCCCTCTCGCCACTTCCCTCTTGCTCTAAAGGATTTGTCCTTGTTTCACTCAATACTTTCTTTGTTTTGTTTTTCAGAAAGATTATAGAAGAATATGAAGTCTATCTGGCCTTCTGTACAAAGTAACTAGTCTGGCTGCCCAGTGCTAAAATTCAGAAAACTTGGTAAGAGGAAGTGAAATGGTACAATAACAGATGTCTTGGCAGGCATCTCACTCTTCTTTTTCCTGAATAGATAAGGTGTTTACTTCAGCTGGCAAGCCTCCAAAACAGAAAATACTGTGCAGATGTCAGCCCGTAGGCTTTTGGAAAGATTCTGAGATTGTTCTGCATATTCATCTCTTTCTTAAAAACATGAATAAGCCCTGTCTCTGCTATCTGATCAGAGGTGGTTGTAGAGATAACAGTGTTTTGTCCTGATGCTGTTACTTGGCCACTGTCACCTCATTCTGGTTATTCTGTACATTGTAGATATGCAGATCATGTCATAGAAGCAAAATTAGTTGGTAATGAAGTCCAGAACTTGAACT